AACTAAGGTGTGGGTTTACAGATATGAAAACTGCCTTAAAACATTTCAAAGGAATAAGTGACAAATTTGCTCAGTCTTTTCATCTGAATTTTTTATGATGTTATAGGTAAAAATCAAATAGAAAGTTCAAGAAGACAAATTCAAATTTTAATAAGGGAGAGTTATTCAACAATCAGTCATCCCAAAGTGCCTTTTCTACTAGGAGGAGGGAGTTGAGACTAGATTTTTGACCATGCAGAGAAGTCTGTTCCACAGATATTTCTGGAGCACCTATGGTGCGCCAGAGGGGAATGTAGGTTCTCACCCTAGTCAGTAAAGAGACAACACCATGGGTTCGTTCATAGAGCTGATGTTCTTTATGTTATGAGGGAACACTGATAGAGAAGTTGGTAAACCTTACAACAGCCTCCACGATACATGCCAAGGAGGAAGTAAAGCCCTGTGATGTTTTAGGAAGAGACCAGTGGGGGTCTACTTCAGCCAGAAGGCCCAAGAGTGCTTCCACACACGAGCAGCAACAGGAAGGAGTGAGCCCTCTGACAATGCCAGGGAAGAGAGTTACAGACAGGTCAACTAGTAACTGTCAATACCCTACTGCTTTGACAGAGGATATCAATAATGTGGTGAAAAGGAAGATGGAGAAGAGCTTTAGAGGGATGTTGTACAATGCAGACACATAAGACTTTGGGACTCAAAGTTTTTTAAAAAGGTTTCAATTTTTAAGTTTTCTGAAATGTTAGTTGAATATATCTAAAAGATTAAACAGTGAATTATTTTAAAATTTATAATGCCATAATTAATATTCCCTTACATCAATGTAGAAATGAAGCAATGCTACACTTACTGTTTTGCACCTAAAAAAATAAGTTACCAAATATTTCTAGGTTTTCTTCTCTCTTGATAAACTGAAAAGAAATCTACCTGCATAGGACCCTGTTGGGAGAGTGGTACTCAAAGAGATACTCAAAAGCAGTAGGTTACTTTTAAAGACCAGTGTCACGACAGTGAATCACCAGTGAGCATGCCCACCACGATCCACAACTTGTCTTCGGGGAGAAGGTGTGATCCAGGCATTGGCGGATGGAGCTGTCAAGCAAGATCCGAGAGGAT